TCTATTGTCTCTTACAGTTCCAGTAGTTACAATTCCTATACTTTTTAATTTCTTCAACAGATCGTAACTTGTAAAAAAGTTTTAAAAAAATTAATGTGTAGTCTGATGGGCAAGCGATGTGGTCTACCTTGTCCAGAACTACTTGTGATCCCGAAGGTAAAGCTACTTTTCTTATCAATATTTTGGGCTCCACAATACGTATCTAAGGTATAACAATAACTATTTGCACTACATAATAACCAATTTTTGTAGCCGAATCTAATCTTCTTCTTATTGCGCCGTCTCCTTTCAAAGGTTGGCGATCCAAATGGCAATTGTAGCTTTGGAAACTACTGCACTAAAAGTCCAACTGAATCATTCAACGAAATCTGTCAAGGTTGTCGTCTTAGGGGTATTTAGTTTCGTGTAATTAATAAGAATTGTACTATGTATCTAAACAATCAACAAATTGAAAAAGTAGAGAGCTGTACATATCTGGGTACCAATGTAAATAACCCATGGGGCAATTTTGCAGAGATAAAACAACGCATAGCAAAGGCCAGGTCAGCATTTATTAAAATTAATTCGATTTTTAAAAGTAGAGATCTACGTTTAACACAAAAATGTCGGCTATTTAAGTGCTATGTAATTCCGGTTTTGCTTGAAGGAGTGAAAGCTTGGACTTGGAGGCATTTATGAAAATTCTGAAGTCTCCAAAAGACTCTCCACATAATAAAAAAAAAACAATATTTTCAACTTCTTATGGGACAAATATACACAAATTAGAAATGTTTGGAAGTATTTTCTAAGCCCCGCCCATTGTGGCGTCAGACTTAGTTAGTCCACTGTAGTACTTTGATCATATTATGTGAATACTGATAGGTATAGTTTCCTTCAATTGGTTATTAAAGGAAAATTGTTTGGTAAGATAGACCCAGAAAACGACGTATTTCCTCGCTCCACAACGTAAGAACTGGGTTTAATATGTCATAATTTTCTAAAGACGAATGTTAGATTGCGTCTCGTTTAAAAACTAAATAGTATTTACTTTATGGAAGGAGCATTTTAGTTAAATACAAGGTTGTTGCGGTCTAGTTAGTAATCTTCGTATACTATTATGCAATTTACTTCCTCAGAGAAATGAAATGAACTAATTTGTTTAATTTAAACGAAGAAAATTACTAACGTTAACTAATATAATTGGTTAAGGTTAAGGATAAATGCTTCAAGCATTTAAAGTGTGGGCGTACATAAAGAGTTACGAACATGAATACATACTCTGGTTTAATAGGTTGTGGACGTATGGAATATAATTTCAACACTTCCAGTTAATAATTGAAACAATAGTTGAACAAATTCTGGTTCTGGATATAAACGACTATCAAGGCTAATACTGCATATAAGTTATTGGGATACTCTTGATAATAATAAGTAGTTATATTTACACTAAATTTTATTTATAAGATAGGTTAGTTGGAACTTTATATCGTTGGTTGATAGCTAAAATAAGAGGCAAATGTTTTCGAGTATATTTTATTGATATATCTCGAAAAATCTGAGTCATTCGTCGAAGATAAAAATCCTATATAATCAACTAACATAGATAAATGATAAGGATATACATAAGCTCCCAGCTGGAAACTCATTCAAACTCCGAACAGTTTATATCCAAAAACTTGAATTAAATGGTAATATTTAATAGACCACTTAAATTGAGAATTTAACACACTAATGTCGTTATGAAATTTTATATTGGATTACCTACTATGAATTTATCAAACATGTATGTTGTTCACCAAATAGGCGTAACAAAAAGTGAGACGATTTCGATTTTTTCTATAATGGCTTTGGCTTAGTCAATTAGCCAACGATTTCGATTTGGAAACGCCCTCCAGTCTATGTAGAAATGCCGTGTCAGAGTTAAGAAATTATAACGCGAATAGATCTTATATTAAAATTAACTGGAAAGGAGACTAGTAAAAAGAGGTACAAAGTAAATATCTAAAAGATTTTCTAAAAGTTTGAGGCAACTGAATGTATACAAAGAAAGAGTACAAGCAAAATAAATGCTATTGACGATGGAGAATATGCTGATATTTTAATGTCTAATAGAAAATAAGACAATTTGCACGTAAAATTAACTTTATAATTAAAGATTTATAATTAATTATTATAGAAAAATTCCAATTTTTTGTCAAAACACATCGAAAGTTTGTATACAACAAACTAAAAATATCACAAGAATTCAGTTCTAACTATATATCTATAAAAATGAAGCTCTATTTCCCTTGGTCACGCCATAACTTGAGAACGAATGTACCGATTTCATTCTTCATATAATGTTTTTTTCTTTTCTAATACTTCCTAATACTTCGTATAAAAGGAAAGAAAATTACGCATGAAATGTAAAAAAATCAGAACAATTATTTCGCGTTTGATAATTAATATGATACAAATGTCTTTTAACAGCTAGATTGGTCGGTCGAATGTATTTAGTTTTAGTGCAGTGCCTATTCAATCGAAACGTTTTTCCAGCGTTTAGTTTGTTTAGTGAGTGTTTTAATAAAACTAATTTTATAAATTATAAAAAAGAGTTTACAAGAATTTATCGCAATCACACCTTATATATTAAAATTAACACGTAGTATACATGAATGCACAGAAAAACTAAGGATATCAACTTTTCATTTTTGTGGGACGTGGGTCTATTGATCTGGGATGGGGAATATTTAGAGAAAATATTGAGAATTAAAACATGTCCATGGAAATGACAGAATCTGGTACTAGAAGAAAATGGAAAAATAATGGGGTACCACCTAGTCCTTTGTCGAGGAACGAGGAACACTCGACAATTGACCTATGAGAAGATTGGTTTAAGAAAGAATAAAAAAATGAAATGAAAGAATAACAAAATGGATAAACAGTTAAAAGGAAAGAGAAGCAAACACACTTACCTTATATTCACGCGCTACATTCCTGTCAGATTTACCTTCTTATCAGTTATTAAAAGTAAGGACGATTATAAGAGAGTAATAAACAAATATCTGCTACTAATTAACAACTTTTATTGCTTAAAAGTTCAGCCAAGTAAAAGTTATTATAGAATGTCAAGACATATCAAAAATCAAAAATGAAAATTTTGACAAATCAGATGGTATACAAATATTCCTCTGTATCTGTATCTGTAGAGTAGGGAGAGCCAGTTAAGTTCCACAACATTAAGGCCACAATGGCCCCATTGTGCATCCTTCCAGAGAGCTGTCGCCCTTAGCTCATTGTCCATCCTACCATTTCTAGGAAGGTGGACAAGTCACCATGAGACATCTCTCTTATGTGGGCAGATGTGGGCCAGGATACCGACAGAGTCGAACGCATACTCTCGTATTAACGATAACTTCGGGTATTCACATAGGACATGCTCTACAGTTTATCTTCTCGTTCACACTTTCTACACACAGCTAGCAGACACATAGAGGTGTGTCTGCTAGCCCCAATGTGTGGAGGTATTTGTTTAGTTCACAATGACCAGTTAAAAAGACAACTGTCAAACGTAGGTTTTTCCTGGTCATTCCCGAGTACTTCTTTGATGCTGACTCTTCAAGGTTACTTAGTGTTACCCTGGCAAGTCTACATCCTTGCCCTTCTTCTCATCTTTTTACGGTTTGCGTATGGGAGTGGCATTTGACAATTTCCGCGATTGTTGTAGTTACCAATGAAAAGGTCCCCAGGATCTAAGAATATTAGGCCTGCCGCCTTCCTAGCCAATTGGTCAGCAATGCGTTTGCCTTTATTCCTATCGTGTCCTTTAACCTACCTCAGGATGATGGCATTATCATCCGAAGCTTGACTTAGTGAATAGTGACACTCCATTACTAACCCTGATGTGACATGTGGTGACATTATATTATCAAGACATTAGGTCGATGATCAGGGAATACATTTTTTAAGGAAACGTAAAATTTCCCAAATCGATGAAGTGGAACCTTGCGCCTTGAGACGTAACAACGAACTGTAGTTGTATATTATTATGTACTTATATATCAGTAAAACTGTACTTTAAATATGGATTTATCTATTTTTTACGAATCACGTACTCAACTGCGGAAAAAAGAAGCCCTTCTTTGGGCTAGACACCCACGTCCTATCTTTACGATCGCTAATCTGGATGTCAAGTAATTATCAAATTCGTTCTCTCGCGGGTAAAGTCGGACGTTTATTATCCTTATTATCCTTATTAACCTTATTGTCCTTAAGTGGACGTTTATTTATCTCATGCGCAGTTAGGCGATGTAACAATTCAGCGAATTCTTTCTAAAATCTCTGTAGGCGGAACTGAGATCAAGCGAATTCCTAGTGAGACAATATTTCTCCCAGAAAAAGCAATCTGCTTATTATAAACAGACTCTAAAATGTTTAGAATATTAATTTTAGAGAAACGCAAAAAGATTATGAACCATTTCCGACTTCCACGATATACAGGATGAAATAAAATGCTACAATATAAGCAGGTCAAACTGACGAAAAACGCGAAGTAGGCAATGAAGATGAACGGAATCAATGGAATCGATATCAACGACGTAGAAATGTCGCGTTTAATCCCATCTACCACAAAATATATTTTTTATGGTCAGTATGTCAAAAATTGATTTTTATAGCTTGACTATTTCATAAAATTTATGAACCACATTACAAGAAGTGCGAAATTGATCGAAAGTGCTCACTAGCATACTTTTCTAATATCTACTATCCTGATAAATCCTAATTTAAACTCCACAGCTACTGTGGACTTTCCCCAAACAATGTTTTGCTCAGGGAGCGTTAAATATTTTTTACGTTTTCTTAATGCGGATTAATTAATAATAATAATTCTTTCGATTATCTGGATTCCCAAATATACAGCTTTTAAATAATTATGCCGACTCCAGTCCTGGTAAAAAACTTTTATGATGCCGGCACTGCTGAAAATTTATTTATTCAGAACAGTTTCTCGAAAAGCCCGAGATTCCCATTTGCAATACGATTGACGACTGACTACAAACAGTCTCATTGAAGATTCCATATCCATAGTAATCTTTCTTCAAAAACATCTTACATAAAATTCATTTTAAAGTCGTAGATAAACAAACCATTTTTTAATGAACATTAACGGTTCAATGTTTATCTAATTACTCAATTAAACGAGATAATTAGTGATAGTGTATTTAAATAATAAATACATTTTTAGTCAAATCAAAATCATTAGGACCGAGAGGTTATGGCCAGTTTGGATTTTTAAACTTTCTCTTTGAATTTTAGAAAAACCTTTATAGATTGTGACTAGGCATTATATTAGTTCAGAATGTTTAAGTATTATTTCGTAGTGTTGTGTTTCTCTTTATATTTTACTGTTGGATGTTTTGGTAAGTATTTATTATCTGTGCTACCTATTTTAGATTATGATTTTAATTACATTATCACAGAGATGTTGTTATTCATCAACTATAAAGTTTCATAAACTAAATTATGTTTAATGTTTATATGTTAAATTGACAATTTACAGTATGAAAATATTATACCCCTCCAGCAACCCCTTTGAATTATAAGCACCCCCTCGAAAATTTTAAATAACAAAGGGGGTAGTATGGCACCTAGTTAGAAAGGGATTTTAGTTCTCTGTTCAGCAATATAAAGTTTTTCTAAGTTTGGTGCAATCATAACTGAGAAAATTGATTTTTAAAATGGAAAATTTTGATAATGTCTATCACAAAACTTTAGGTTGAATGAAGATAATAATGTCACATAATATTTAAAATGTATTTCCCAATGTACTTTACAATTAAATTAAATGTTCAAGATGACCACTATTCACTTCTTGACAATACCCGAGGCGATTTTGGAATTCTCGTACAATATTTTGTACGACTTCGGGAGTTATTTTGTTAATATCTTCCGATTTCCTAACTTTTTAATTAGCAATACTGTTTGGTCTATTAAAATATACTTTAGATTTTAAATAACCCCTTAAGAAGTAATCGAGAGGAGTCAAATCGGGGGATCTAGGCGGCCATTCAATCGTCCCACGTCTTCCAATCCACCTATTGGGAAAAACCTCGTTTAAATAATTTTTAATTATAAGTGCAAAATGCGGTGAAGCTCCATCTTGTTGGTAGTAAATAGGCACTAAATGTAGGCACTAAAAAGTTAATCAAAAAGTCTAGATAAACCTCACCTGTGCACCCAAAAAAATAAGGACCAATAATTTTATTGTTAATGATACCAGCCCAATTGTTATTTTTTTAGGATATTGCGTGTGAGTCTCACACACCCTGTAAGGATTTTCTCTCCTCCAATATCTACAGTTCTGTTTGTTAACCGTTCCGTTTAAATAAAACGTCACTTCATCAGAAAAAACTATTTTGTTTATGAACTGAAAATCTGCGTTCATTATGTATATCATCATTTCATAGAATTCTTGCCTTCTATCAGGATCATCTTCATGTAAGGGTGGTATTTTTCTTTATGTAAAACTCTCAAAATGATGATTTACTTACGTCACTGACGGCGGCAAGTTCTCGAGGTGTCTTATGCGGATTTTACACAATCTCTAGAAGTACATCTAAATTAATTTCATCAACAAAATTTAATTTTTCTACCTGGTTTTTCAATAATTTTTACATGTCCAGTATAACCAAACTTCTTTGCAATTGTGCTAACTGTAGACTGTAGATAATTAAAATATCTATTCTTTTAGTCTCAGACAAATGAGCCATAATTAAATTTAATAAGCGCACAAATATTATACTCACGTCTTCTAGTAACCTTAAATACCAAAATGACAACAGCCTACTAGATTCATATCAATTGTTTATTTGGCTTTTTGACTAAAATTTTATTATCTTCAAAGTTTTTTCCCTAATATTTAGCAGAGCAGATACGAAAATACCTGATTATTTAGTAAGTATTAAGTTATTTTAATAGACCAGACAATATTGCTGATATAAAAGTTGAGATAACGGAAGAAATTAACAAAAACACCCCCGAGTTTTAGGTTCAAAACGAAATTGGTTCCTTAGTGCAAAATTATATAGTGTGCGTAAGATTTTGTTCTTAATTTCCGTATACCTCTAGCTGCCTTAAAATTTTTCGTTCAAAGGTAACCAACAGTTTTTTCGTCAATTTTTAACATTATCCATGCCTCTGATCTTTATGTTACATTTCACACTTTTTTTTCTTGATAAGTGGCCAGATCTCGGGTATTTACTTAATCATGACAAATATACTTGTCATTTTTATTCTTCTATTAACGTGTTTACTAATGTTATCTAATAAATTGATATAAATTATTGTGTTTTAGTAAATTAAAATAAGAACAATAAATTAGAATTAATAAAAACATTACAGTAGGTAGCAGCATAATTTTGAATTTTATGAAGAAAGGTCGGCAGTGTTCTAGATAACTAACTCCTGCTAAAATCCTGATAAATTTTCTATTTTTTCTGCTAATTCTATTTTTTTTTTGTATACGTTGCTGAGTTGTCATTTCTATTATGCGCTGATACTCATTTGTGGTATTTCTATTATCTTTTCCTTCAACAATTTTCACGTAGCTGTTAGTTGATTATTTGTTGGATATGCAACACGAAGTGGTTGACATATTTTTTTGAGAAGCGTTGGAAATTTTGTTTTCTGAATCTAATTCTATACTGAACATATCTTGTATCTTGTAACTTACTTTTCCCAGCAATTTACACGTTGGGAATCTTTTATATCATTTTGTTTTGGACATTGTTTCGATAGGTGACTTTAGAGAGAAAGTAGTCCTGGAGCAATAATTTTAGTTGGTCAAAATATTGAGTTATATAGTTCTATATAGTTCTAGTTATATACTTCTATATTAAACAGTGGCAGATCTTTCTTCGTGCTGCTTTATTTGAAGGCGTGTAAACATCTGACGAACGCATGTGACCGAAGCCTTTCTACCGAATTCATTCGATGTTTTCGAAATTCGATGGAAAAATTTTTCTTTCGTCCACATTACAACAAACAAATTCGTTTGCAGTCATTCGATCAGTTTCAGAAAACGGCGCTGGTGGACAACATCATTGCTCCAAAGCAGAAGTCGGTATAAAGGGATAGACTTATTTAATGATCTAAAAGCTAAAATGGAATACGAGCTTTTTCAAAATTTTTGTAGAATGAAGTCTACTGATTTTGAATGGTTATTAAATGAAATTGGTCCAAAACTAGCAAAAAAAGATACAAAGTTTAGAGAAGCGATACCGCCAACAAAAAGGTTAATGTTAACCCTACGATATTTGGCTACTGGTGACTCATATTCAAGTTTTATGTACTGGATTCTCGATCTCGACATAAACCAATAACTTTTAAACAAGAAGAATTATTAGTCGACTACATTATTGCAAATTAGAAAATCAAACTAAAATGGCGACGATGTTCGACACTTTCACTCGAAAGCGTACACACTAAACACAGCCAAAAGAATTCCTTCTTTAATTTTCTTTTGATGTACCGTCCAGTGTCCAGTGAGCGAACTCTAGCAAAGACAAACACATGCGTTTGCTATCGTTTGTTAGGACGTACACATTTACGGAAGGCGTTTGATGACAAGACTTCGGCCACATGCGTTCGCCAAATGTGTACGCGCCTTTAGAGACTTTTACCGAACTAAAAAATATTATAAACCAAATTATGAATGTTCTTGGGAAAAACACTTTTTTAAAAACTGAACTTCACAAATAAAACTTTTATTTTCGACTTACAAAGATTTTAGTAGCAACAACAATAATTTAAATCAGACTAAATGATAAATCAACTAAACTACAAATCAGACTAAACTACAAATCAGACTGAAAATATTGATTTTAACATGGTGTTTTTATAATTTTATAATTGCTGATCTTGCAGTCCAATACGTCGCAATTCAGTCCAGAATGATCGAGCGGTAGTCCCGTGTGGAATCCACGTGGTAGAATTTACTGGATGGTAGCGGTCGTTGTACTGTAACTACTCCATCCCCTGAAGAAGTTTTGTGAGGGACGAACAGAACTGTTGGGTTGGCCTCTTCTGGAGCTTCGTGGCTGGAGTTGGGTTTTTGTTATTTGTTTTATACCTGTAACATATTTAGAGGCAGATTATTGTAATAAAAATATATATAAAGGAGTCATCCAAAAACGGTTATGGCTATGGTTCCATAATTTCGGGTTAATTGTCCTTGAATTTATGTGACTCTGGATTGGGGTTTTGAATTCGCATCTGGGCGGAAGATTGATGAGATATAGCATCAGGAGGAATGATTGTAGTAGAATTTGCGGTAGGTATAGAAAATAAATGATAATAAGTAAAGAAATTATCATGTAGGACAGTAAAATGAAGGATAAATATTGCTTCCTAGTCCATTAATTAGCCCTCTTCTTGGTCTGCCATAGTGGTAACTTGTTGAGAATTTTTCTTGAGCTGATTTTAATTGGTATATAAGAGCTTGGTCGAAATTTTGTAAACTGCTAAAATACGGATGGCTAAGTCCATTTTGAATTGCTGTGGTTACTGCATCGTACTGGGTTTCAATTATGTCCAATTCTTCCTTTATTGGTAGTAGTCTAAAAAATGCATAAAATCGTGTGTACCTACTAGTATAAATCTTTGCTTGTCCCAGGTTGAGGGAATTATTTCTGGATTGTCTTTCAGGTCCTTGATCTTCATTTCTTCTGCCATCGTCAAGGTGATCCTGTGGGGAAGGTTCAGAATTTGTTTTTGACTTAGGTTGGTGTTTTATGTTTTTCTTGTGAACTGTAGCTTTTGATGTATTTACAGTCACTTTGTTATTCCTTTTTATATGTTTTGCGGAATATCGCGGAAGTAATTTATTTCTGGTAACTGTTTTTCGTGTATAGATTTTTGTGCTGGGTTTATACGTAATAGGGTCTTGTCTTGTTTTGTTTCTATTTTCTATGACTTTATTTTTATTCTCTTGTATATGTTGGTTTACTTCCTTGTATAATTCCTTTGTTATCTCTCTATGATTTTGAATATAATCGTTCAGTATTACTTTTTGTATGTCAACGTCAAAGGGATCTTTTGCGTCGATATGTCCGTTTAATATGTCAATGGGTCTTAACTTCGTTGCTGAATGTATGGAATTATTGTACCCAATTATAGCGAATAGCATTTGTTCTTTTATCGAGAGTTTTGCTTTGGTCTTCCTTAAGATTCGAAGATGTTCGATTAATGTAGAATGAAATCTCTCAATCATCCCGTTTGATTGCGGATTCTCTGGTGTCGTATAGTGGATTGAGATTTTGTGAGAGTCTACAAATTCTTGTATTACTCCATTTTTAAATTCGGTACCATTATCAGCTACTATCATTGTTGGGAGTCCATGATGTGTTATAAAAATTAATAG